TGTCCGTCCTGTCACGGCTATGGAGGCCGTTTACGAACTATTGTCTCATCCTGAACTGGCCAAAGAGGCCATTTGCGAACTATTGCCCTGTCTCAATCCAGCCAAAGAAGCTGTTTCTGAACTCTCTGCCTTATCTGTCACACCTGAAGATGCTGTCTGTGAACTTACTGACTGTTCTGCTGCAGCTACAAGGGCCATTCAAGAATTCTCATCTCTGTCTGTCACTGCCATGAAAACCTTTAATGAACTTCTTGTGTTCCCTGCCTTGATCCTTGTTACCGTGAATGCACTGCCTGTCTCTCGTATCTCTGCTTTTCCTAGGTCTCAGTCTCTGCCAGGGTCTCCTGATCAATCTGGCCCTCCGTGGTGGGCTTCTGCTCTGTCTGCTCCGCCCTGGTGGGCTTCTGTCCCATCTGCTCCGGCCTGGTGGTCTTCTGCTCCTCCGTGGTGCCCCGTAACAATAGGGACCGATTCTTACTATTAACTAGTTGCTTATTAGCATGCCTATTAATAACATATTGGCTGTTTATTACTTATAAAGCACATATTCTGCATGACCGTATTCCACATCCCTAATCCCGAATACCTACACTTAACAACTACCTTACTATTAATAAGCAGCAAATTAGGAGTTTATTGAGGCAAAAGTCATAGTTAATGGTTTGTTAATAGCAAGAATTGGACCTGAAAAGAAAGTGTGACCTAATTCAGTAGCTAACTGCACTGAATAAGTGACAAGTCTTACAGAAACTTAATGCACTATAATGCTGAAATGAAAAACACACACTTTTCATAAAATACAAAATAATTTCTCCCGTTTTGTTCTGATTAATAATAAAAACTGACAGATCAATTGGCTCAAAATAATTGTTAGTTGTGTCCCTATTGTGTTATGAGATAGATAGACGGACGGACGGATGGATGGATGGATGGACGGACAGACAGACAGATGATGGATAGATGGATAGATAGACAGATAGACAGACAGACAGACAGATGATGGATGGATGGATGGATGGATAGATAGATAGAATAATTTCATAATGAACTCAGGTTCTATGGAAACGCTTATGATGCCATGATGCTTCTAACCATATTTAAGTTGCTACCTACCAAGCTGCTGAAGACACTGCCATTTGTTTTCATATGTTGTCATGATGGTCAAGTGAGAGGACAATTCCTAGTTTGTTAGTTGGACAAATTCATAAATGGAAACTCATATTCATGATCAATTTGACATAGCTTGTTTCACAGATGCTTTTTATCTCCTACAGTATATTATGGTTTCAAACACAATTAATTCATTCAAACTATCCACAAAAAAAAAAAAAACTATAACCCACAGCAATGCTAAAAAATATTTATCAATATCTTGCACAATAATCTGTATTATGATTTTCATAGCAGTGACTGGGCTGTGCAAGTGAGTGTGTGGGTGCAGCAGACAGTGGCTGTTTAGGTCTGCAGAAGATCCAGCTTTGAGACGGATGATCATGCTGAAATCCTCTTCTCTTTGATAAGCCCCTGGGCTCTACTCTTCTGATCCCACCTTTCAAAGGTTCATTAAAGTCTTAAAAGCTGGGCAGAGTCCTTTCCTCCAAGGGCTCACCGCTCCCAGCGCTCCCAACTCAATGGTGGACACATAAGTCCAGACATATTGAAGAATGTGCGCTATAAAGACCAGAGGAAAGAGGAGAGTCTCAATTGTAGCTTGGGCAGCTCTGTTATACCTGAGATCTATAAGGTTCTGAATGTTGAAGACTTTTCCAGAAGCGAAAAGGGATCAGTGAGCCTTCAAATCAGATAATATCAGTGATGCAATACCATTCAGCCACAGTGAAATGTTTTGACAACTTTGTCTTTCACAGTGGGGCTGGGCAATATATAAAGTGTAAAAGTTGGAAATATGTCAGAGATTTTGCCGAACCATTAATTAATTTGCATAGCCATCAATCAGCAGGACTGCTTTAATTTATTTACATGAGTAGGTGAAGAAACATGGAGGAAGATAAAAATACAGAGCAGAAAATGTCTCAAACAACGTTCTTCACGTTGAGCTGTGATTATAATATAGTTTTTGCATAATTATCAAGCAGCTTAACTATATTCAACACTGATAATAATCAGAATCAGATTCTTGAGCAGTAAATCAGCATATTAGAGTGATTTCTGAAGATCATGTGACACTGAAGACTGAAGTAATGATGCTGAAAATTCAGCTTGGACTCACAGAAATAAATTACATTTTAAATTATATAACAATAGAAAACATTTTAAATGGTAATACTATTTCACAAAATTAGAGTTTTTACTTTATGTTTGAGCACATAAATGCAGCCTTGCTAGCTTAAGAGAATTCATTAAAACTTTTAAAAATCATAAAGTTTCCAAAAATTTAACAAGTACTGTATATAGGCACAATCCACTGATTTCAGTATAGTCTCTGCCAACTGGCTGTTACAAAAAGCATTTCAGATTGAATGGTTGAAGTCATCAGAAATAATCAAACTGGCACACAATACAAATGAAGAACTTTGCACTGTAATTATTTAATATCTCAGTTTAATTATTCTGTTTAATTACACATTACACTTGAATTATTACCTCTGTTGATTAATTTAAGCTTTATGAATAAACAAATTATGGATGCTTTTTGATAGCTATATTAATTTATGAATTCCTCTTTTTTTTTTCAGTAGCCACTATCATTAAAGAAAAATAAAACTATTTTGTGATACAGTTACCATGATATAAAATTCATCATGCTGAGAGAATACACTGTGATAATCATGAAATAGATTAAAGGCACATATGAGAAGAAATTGAAAAATTATTACTGTGATTAAACACATCAGTACCTTCCTGCATTTCAATCAATTCAGATTGACATTTTAGTGAAAGGCATTATTCTAAATCAAGACTTTAATTTACATTATACTTTACGCATAACATTTCAGACCCCTTGCCGGTGTTAATGCATCCATTTGGTGTGACTGTAGATTTGTTTTCCTGACATCTGAGTGTTTGCACGCATCAGCGGCGGTTGCGGCAGCAGACTCCTGTGAAAATGTTATGAAACTGACCCAATTTCCCTGCGTTCTGCTTGCAGCGGGCTTGCTGTGCCTGCTGTGTACTCCTCATGTTAGCTTGAATAATTGATTCAAGCCTGTTTGTTAGTAATATTTATTGCACAAATGGCAGCTACACATAAACTCACAGTGTTAGGAACATAAATATGTAATAGCAATGGTCTACAGTTCCAATGCATTGTGTTTATCACAGTTTTTAGTTGAAACGTTAAGAGTTCAATGTCTGGTCTTGATTTAAATAATAAATTACTTTGGTCTTAATCTCTCTGTATATCTCAGTGAAGTGTGTGAATTTAACATCATAATGCTGTCTCACTCACATGCCAGTTTCAGGGCATTCTTCTGACAGCGAACACACATTGTCTCCTTTGTGCTATGACCACACACACTCTAAAATGTTACACCTCCACCACTAGCACTGTATCAGATCTTAATATACCAACAGAGAGAGCAATTTATCCAATTCCAAAAGATTCCATTCACAAATTTAAATTCTTTACTCACCCTTACTTACAAACAGAGATATTTAAAGAAATTAAATATATATATATATATATATATATATAGAGAGAGAGAGAGAGAGAGAGAGAGATGTATGTATATGTATGTGTGTGTGTGTGTGTAAAATGTTTGCAAAATAAATAAATAAAATATCTTAAGAAATAAAACACCACAACATTCTTCAGAATACATTCATAGAAACTTCATAGATACACTTTTTCAATTCCCAACGGATAAAATCTAGTCATGCCATGCATTTTTTGTTGTATATGCCGTTTTACAAAAATGTCATTTTTACAGAAATAAAAAGGGTTCTGAATGCTGTTTCATGTTACTTTAACACTATGTCCTTACCAAAAGTAACCCAACCAAGTTTCCAGTGTTGAATGATTTGTTTGATCACGCTAAATGTGAAAAAAAAAAATATTGCAAAAAACACAATCACAGCCAATCAGAACAAATCTCCAGATCTGGACCAATGAGACTTTATTGTGGGAGGGGCAACTCATCAAAACTGGAAGAACATGGAAGAGGTTTTCCAATGAGGCACTTGTGGGAGAATTAGTAATGTACAGTATGTTTAGTAATTGTACAAGTAATCGACTGTCTTCTTTTAGTGGTTTACAGTTTTGAATACCATGTTCTGGTGGTTAAAAGAAATATTTACTGTATGTTTAAGAAATCGTAATTGTTAAGTCAAGAAAATTTAAAAAATATATATTAATGTACGCACAAAGCTGGTGCATTCTCTGTTAGCTGGAATATGTAAAGATGCCGCTATGAATGTGTAAGTCTACACTGGAAGTGATACATGAAAATTATTTTAGTATTGCTATGATTTTAGTATTGCTATACATGGTTAAAAACAAAAGAACAAGCACACAAGCTGGTTTTTGGTGTAATTAAAGTAGATAAGGGGTCAAAAAATAGAAACTGGGTGCTCGTGACGGTATGGACAGCTCTACTGATTAAAAGAAGTGGTAGGTAAAGGTGCTAAAATGATATGCCTGTGTGCTGCAGTTATGTTGTCCATTAGTAAGTCATGAAATTACCAAAGAGTACAAATGAATTGTTACTGTCATTCATTTTTGTTAGCTAGATACAATGAAACAGTGGCACCTTCCCCACAAATAGGTGCAATTCTTTTCAGATTCAGCAAAAAACTGTCTATGCAATATTATTTTAAAACCCTTCATACCTTCAAACACACACTTCGACTTCCTAATCCTACTTTACCAACCCATTCTCCCATAAGCATCAGCGCCTGCTGAATGTGTTGCTCATTCTCCATTGTGTTTGACACTTCCACTGGGCTGCTGCATCTCCCACCTGGGCCCATGATGAAACATGCAGATCCTGCACCTGGCACTCGTTTCCCTGCCTGCCGCTCTGATAACGGCTTCCCTCTCTAATTAAGCTGCAGTAAAGCTCCTCTCCAGCTGCCTGCAGTGGAAACAGCTCGTCCAAAAAGTGCTGTGCCTGGCGCTTTCACAGCGCTCCTGAAATATTAAGACGCCAGTCGTCAAAGTGCCCAAACCCAGGTGAGCAGCTGCTTTATGCTTTTCACCACCTTCATATAAACTGAATGGCCACGGCTTGTGAGTTGGAGTGTGTGCCGTATATATATATATATATATATATATATATATATATAAACCTCAGGCAGGTTGACAATGGATTTCTAGTGGTGGATGCTAAGGTGTGCCACATGGATGCACCCTTGGGCATCTGTTTTTACGTCAACAACAGACGGTGTAAACTGAAAGAGAAGCCCTTAAATGGTGCATTATTACTATTGTGGTGCATTGTTTAATATTGATCAAAAACAGCTGTCATCGGTGTGGCTATAGAAAAAAGCAATTTGCTCTTAAATTGCTAACTTATGCTTAATGGAACGTAAAGGAACACTAACCCAAACATTTAAACTCTGCCTTGATTTACTTAGCCTCATGCTTTTCCAAACCTGAATGACTTTTGTTTTTCCTTAGAACATGGTAGGAGAAATTCTGAACATTTGTACTGATCGCTTATTTGTTTGCAATTGGACTGAATTTCGGCTGAGGCTTTCAAGCTTCAAGAAGCATGTAAAAGCACAATTAACGTATCATTAAAATGGTCCTTATATGACTTGTGTAATATAATCACAAATCTTCTAAAGTCCTGCAAACTTTTATTCTGAATTGATAATCATACCCTCCAGTAAGCTGTTAATCACTGCAATCTTTAAAATAAGAAAAAAAGCCCATGGATTTAGAATGATGGTGAATAAATAATGAAAGAATTACTTTAAGCTTAAAATTTTTTATTTTTTTTAAATATACATAGAGTATCTTTACACCTTGGTCCCATAGAATTCTTTGAAGGTCTCAACCATAGTTAGAATATTTTGCTGTATATACAGTATATATATATATATAGCCATTGACTCAAATCAGTACATTCATAGTGACATTGTTGTTGTTTAATTTTTGAACATTAGTTAAAAAAATGCCTTACTTCCCTTAAAGTAAAAAAAAAAAAATTACAAAAAATCAAAATGATATAAATCATCTTTTCCATGTTAATCTGAATTTTTGTCCTAATCATCCATTATTGCAGCAAATTACACCTCATTTTCTCAGTTTCTAAGTATAAATTACTCAGGTACCACATGAAAATCTGTTAAAAGGGAGGTGGGGGTGTTAAACGATGGAACAGGTATGTTTCATTGAAGTACTGTGTTGTCTTTGTCTCAGATTTTTCTCCTATACATTTAGGACAGGGTTGTCCAATCCTAGTCCTGGAAGGCCAATGTCCTGCAGAGTTTAACTCCATCCTATCCCAACATACCTGCCTGGAAAATACTAGCAATCCTGAAGACCTTGACTACCTTAATTAATGTGTGTTTAAGTGGGGTCGGAGCTAAACTCTGCAGGACAGTGGCCCTCCAGGAGCAGGACTGGGCGCACCCCTGCTTTAGGATAAATTAAAAACCCAAATGAAACAATTGTTGACATGCAGTAATACTATAGAGAGACAAAGCTGTTAGATTAAAAAGAAGAAATCATGAAGCATTCTTGGTACTTGGACCACACACACACACACACAACGTTCACCGGTGTAAATGAGTTTTCGCACACACACACACACACACACACACACACACACACACACACACACACACACACACACACACTTTGAAGCTGAATCAGATCCATAAAACTGGTTAATATTTATGGTTGCAGAATATCTGAAAGGAAGTCCTGCTCATTTCAGTATCATAATCAACATTTCCACCAAGATAATGAGCTCATCGTTCATGTTTGTGTTGACAGGGGTCATTAAAAAACAGCTTTGCAGTGTCAGGAAGTCAAGACATTAGGTAAGTCATCTAGAGAGGAAAGAATGAGCATTATTAATCTTTCAGCACCTATGGAGACTGGAGCAGAGCGTTTGACAAAAACAGATACAGAAAGCGTTAGAGCTGGAGAAATATTTTCCAAATGCAGAGATTGAGGATTCTGCAGTAATGGACCCACAGCAGTTATGAGAAATGGAAAACGTCAGAGATTTTTATGAAAGACACATTAATGTGTTCTGGCTTATGACTAATTTATTTTATGCACCTGAGTTAAAGGAAGGTTCTGGGTTCAAATACATGTCAAGATTTTTGACAATCTTGATTACCACAACAGTTTTTTTTTTTTTTTACTTTTGCATCATTAAAATCACAGTTACAGTAAGCCGTTATCAAAGGAAGCAATGAGGTGACAATCTATAAAGCCCACACGTAATTGTGTAACTTAATCTTAATCTTTTCCTTTTTTCATTTAAAGCCAGCATGTCGGCAGCATGTACATAACAACACATGTAATGGCAGTAAAGAAAATAAACCTTGTCTTTCTTGTATACTCACAGGTACACAAGAAAGATACATGATGTAACTATTCAACGCTCACAGGAATTATTAAACCAGATGGTTCTTCTGCCTAGAAAAGTCCTACCTAAAAAAAAAAAAAGGAATATTTTGACAACATCTTTGAACCAAACTACTAGAATTTTTTTGGAGGTAAGACTATTAGAGTTTTTGTTCTCTTGTTTTATCATCTGCTAGGTTAAAGTCACTTAGAAAATAGCACACCTCTCCTCAACGAGCCTCATCATTCAATATATCATTTGATTTTTGTAGTTACACAACAAAGATTAATGCTTAGGGTTAGTGATTTGAACAAAGCCCTAACACAATGAGCAATAGAAATAGTTATTCTTGACTTGCACCACTTACAACACAATTTCTCTACAGACATAAAACAATGACTAATCTATCAGTGTTGTTACTGAAATGAGCCATAAATGCACTGCACTTTCACACCAGAGCACTCTAACATTGAACTACAGCCCATAGCAAACAACAGCGGAAACTTACGATTATGTCTGTAGTAATGACATCTCCGGTTCCTCATGGCTTGTGGAGAGACTGAACATTTCACTTTCTCTGTCAGGGTTACTAACCTTCTGATACAGTAATATACCTACAGCCCAGCAGATTGAATAAATAATGCAGTCCTTGTGTGTGGAGTCCATGTTGTTTGAGCAATTTATAATTTACAGAACCAATACGCTGAGCTGTCTTACTGTTTTGATAGAGTTTTTCATGTACTTAATGAATGCGTACATACCGTAATGTACAACAACTAGTTTTTTTCCCCTGCCAATTTTTTTTATATTTTAATAAATATATTAAAATATTTTATTAAATATTTTTGCACTTTTACTATTTTATAACACCCTTTATACCTTGTGAAAACCAGCTCTGTTCACAATGAGCCGTTTCGGTGCATGTCTCTTTAAATGCTAATGAGCTACTGCTTACCCCACCCCTCTCTTCTTTGGGGCACTTCAGTCGCGACAGCAATAATAGATTTTATTTCATTGTGCAGGGGTATATTTTTGCCTCCTTATCTTGAATTTGGGGTGAAGTTTTGTTAATTTTGGTGGCATTTTTGCCTCTTAATTTCCTTGGTCTCGCTCCACTTTTCATAATCCAGTTTAAAGGCCAAGTCTTGTCCTACATTTTTCTCTTCTGAACTTTCCTCTTAGGTTTGACTCAGAAATGTCATATTATATAAGTTAAATTAAAATGCCATTTTATGTTGTCTATTTTGTCATTTGTTCAATGTTATGTCCTCAAAATGTCTTGATCAGATTACACTTTTTGCCTTCTCATCTCTCACTCATCTTTTATTAAAGATAGAGTGAAGTCATTTAGAAGGACAGTTCTAAAGGACTTGCTCATCATTGCACATTCAGCTCATTCATCATTGTCTTCTTCACCTAACAAGTTGAAATCTACAACAACATCATCTATGACCTCAACTTTTTACAGATAAGAATATTCCTTTGATGCAGAACAGAAAACGTACTCTGTTACTAACGTAACCTCGGTTCCCTGAGATACGGAACGAGTACTGCGTCTTGTCTTAAGACGCTATGGGAAAAAGCCTTTTTTCTCCTGAACTGAAGCCTTTTTTCAATCACGCAGTGAAACTGCACGGCCATTGGTTCATACAGTGTATTTAAAAACGAACCAATGGCTCGGCAGCGGAGCTGCACGAGCCTATGGCGACGAAGCCCGCCAAAGCCCAGGCATCTGGCTATATAAGCGGGCGCTCGCCACCGGATTCTCAGGTTACTTTGACTGAAGTGACGACTGAGTCGTGCAGCTACATAGCACGGCTAGCAACGCAGTACTCATTCCGTATCTCAGGGAACCGAGGTTACGTTAGTAAGCGAGTACGTTCCCTTTCGATACTACACTCGTACTGCGTCTTGTCTTTAGACGCTATGGCAACATAGAACAATCACGCCGTGCTAATGTAGTGGAACGATTAAAAGTATCAAACTTCCATAAGCAACCAATGCCAATAGAGAAGTTAACAACAACCCAAGGCTAGGATGGGCTGAGCTTCCTGAGGTTGCACCCGGCCTGGTTTATCGTTCCAGAGTACTCCTGTAACTTCGACACCCAGGGGTCGAGAGCTAACAGGTGAACTAATGCCAGAGAACTTGAGCGTGATACGGCCAAGGGCTCTCTGCCAGATTTGTTTACGCAGCACGTGTCTCTTCAAGCGGAAAGGACCCTGGCCTGCAAGGCCGGGACGTCCAGGTTATAAAACCTTGTAAATGTGGATGGCGAGGCGCAGCCGGCCGCCTCACAAATATCCGCGATGGACACACCACTGGACCATGCCCAAGATGAGGTGAGGCCTCTAGTCGAGTGGGCCTGTACTCCAATGGGGCATTGAAGGCCCAAAGAAGAGTACGCTAGTGAGATGGAGTCTACTATCCATCTGGAGAGTCTTTGCTTCGTGACCGGAAGCCCTTTGGTGCGGTTAC